GATGAGCCAGCCACACAGCTCTGGTGCAAGAGGGAAGAGGCTACGGCCTGAGGCTAGCACAAGGCACAGGGGTATGACATCCTCCAGCCATTCGTCCTTGTCACCTGGTGCCTCTCCTGGTCTGGCCTGTCTGGGGGGAGTGGTACAGAGCTAGGGCAATGTTTGTAAACCACAGCAGTGTTTTTTTCTTCTAGGCCCAAAAAAGTCAGAAAGGAGAATTTGCTCTACATTTTTCTCCTGCCCCCTCACATATAGCTGCAAAAACTGGGCTTGCCTGTCTCTACTGGCTCTTAAACTAGACTTTCCACTAAGGGCCAGAGGCAAGACCATCACCTGGCATCATGCTAGGGCTTGCAGAGGAAGCAGAAGGAAAGAAAACAAAGGAGCTTTGCCCTGCCTGCTAATTACCTCTGCCTCCTCTCTGTGTTTTTCCAGGGCTGTGTTACATTACATAGTCATTCAGTCACTAAAGTATGGACAAATTGACTATATTTTCATTTGGATTTAGGTTTCAGCCCCACTGCTTTAGAATAATGACCCACACTATTAAGCTAACCATGTGATTTACAGGCTCTCCCACACTGGGCAGTCGCTTCTGCTTTGCGTCTCGCTCTGGAAGACTAACCTGGTGCATGGTCTCCTGGGCCCCCCGAGCTCGCCAAGACAAACGGGTAGCAGGGAACTAGTCATGTCCTGGCAAGCAGTTCATTAGTGAAAGTTGCTGAATGGAAGTTTTTTTTTTATTGTTTTACAAAGCCCAGGGCTTAACCCCTTACTCACCTCAGTGAGACATTTCTACTGCCCTCCCCTTCCTCAGTCACCCACAAGAAGGCTTTTTATCCCAAGAAAACCTCTGCTCTGCTATCTGCAGTGCCACAATTCATGAGCACATGTTTTGGTAACAGAGCTAGGACTTTGCTGTGCATCTTCTTGCTCAGGCACCCTAGGAAGAGAGGCAGCCTCATACTAACTAGACACCAGAAGGCAAGAGTAGACCCCGCACCACCCAGCAGCTGTGGACACAGTGCCAGCAGCCCACCCGCATGCCCATGGCAAGGCACAGGGCTCCCACCCCTAGCTGTTGCCTGCAGGCACAGGACTATATTCCCCAAGGATTGCAAGAGCTCAGGCAACCAGCAAAGACACAAGCAAGCATCTCCATCTCTTGGTTCACAGGGTGTGTCCCATCCTCATGTCACTCACCAGAGCAGAATGGTACCCTGGTGTCCACCAGTTCTTGGAAAGACATTGCTGCCAAAATACAGCATCCTGCAGCCTGGCTGCCTGCAGAGTGTGAGCACAGGGTGCAACTCAACCTACCTTTTTCTGAATGTTTGATAGCCATAATCCAAACCAGTAAGTCAATGCTGGCCGCTCTGGGATAGATTCTCAGGGCTCTGTTAAGTCAGTGCGGAATGGCAGTACATTTTAGCGGAAACACTTCACAGCAGTGATGTAGGAGGACAGAATTTGCACGTATGTCAAAATACTTGCATACACCACATGTCACTGACATTAGGTTTTTCTTTGCTCATTAGAGAATTCTGACTTGCACAAACATTCAGGATTGCTTTCCAGAGAGAAACATTCTTGTTTACTTGACCAAATAGGGAGAGGAAAGAAAATGCAGCAACTTTGGACAACACTTTTGTCAACATGCACTGCCTTCCTGAGCAGATGAAACGAGCCGCGCTCGATGCGCGATATGAATAAGCGATAAGCAATTGACGAGCAAGTGTTCGGGTACCTTGGCAAAAGACTTAATTTGCAACCTGGCACAAAATCAAAGGCTCTGTCAACGGATGAGCGGCTCTCCCGCGTACGCGTTGCATTACCTGGGAAAGCTCTGTCAGGTAAATTTCCAGTGAAAGTAATTAGAGGAATCCCCACTGTATAAACTTTGCAGCAAAATTCTGGGCTCCAGAATTTGATTCTCACCAGGGATCCGATATCTGCTCGCAGCCTGATCCTTCATCAGAATTAACAGTTGAGGTTTAACACACACACAACAGTGTTCCACATTTTTTTTTAATGCCTTACCTCTATTTTTGTCTAAAGAGCTGAACTGACAAGCACAGCTCATGTAATCTTGCAATTGTTGTCTTGTCAGAAAAGGCATAGACTGCTTAAATAACCCATGTTTGATACACCTAGCACACAGTGGGCTAGCTTTTTAGCTATAGCATTTATTTCACAGGTTTGAGGAGGACAGCAAAACTTCATATAGGTGGAATGTTATAAGACTTGTCTCCTGGGGCCTAGATAGTCTTTA